TTAAGGCCATTAGATAATCCTTGGCCCCGTCTCGACGCCCTCTTCGTTGTTTTCTCGAAGCACTGCGGGCGTCGGTGTCTAACTTGAGCGCCCCTCGAGGCCCCGCTGGCTCCGCCTGTGCCCATGCGACGCGAAGGCTAGCGCCTCGGCGTCTGAGGCGGGCTCGGTCGTCCCAGTGTCGGGGCTGGAAAAAACAACGTAAGCCTCGGATTCCTCTCCGAGGCGCTTGCTCTCCTCGGGCAAGAGCTCCTGGCGCTTGAACTCCTCGGGCACGAGCTCCTGGCGATTGCTGTCCTCGTCGTCGGGCACCTCGGGCTCTCGAGAGCTCTCCTCGGGCAGTTGCTCCTGGCGCTTGCTCTCCTCGGGCGCTAGCTCCTGGGGCCTGCTGTCCTCCTCGTCAAGCTCGGCGGTCTCGCTCCCGGCTTCCTTGGGCATCTCAGACTCTCGAAATTTCGGACTCTCGGCCTCGGCCTCGAGCTCGTCGCCGCTGTGCTCGACCTCGGCCTCGTGCTGCTGCGTGTTCTCGGCCAGGTGCTGCCGCGTGTTCTCGGGCGGCCGCGGGGGCCCGAGCTCTTGCCGCAGTCCCTCGAACATGTCTTGGGCGTTCAAATGGGAGGCCCTCCTCGGAAAAGATTCCCCGCCAATCTCTCGGGAGAAGAGCAGCGTTCTCGGGGGAGATGTCTCGCCGACGGCTCTCGTGGCGGTCAGCCATGGATCTCGGCGATCTCGATCGAGACCGTTGGTTCATTGTCGACTTGGAGCAAGTAAGTTATCTTGGAGAGCTCGAAATCTTGAGCCACTAAATGGCTGCGGAGCTTGTTGTTCGGTCTCTTGGGGTTCTCTTGGTGTCCTCTTGGGTTTCTCTGGGTTCTCTCGTTGTCATGTTCCTAAGTTCGCCTTGCGTTTTCTTGGCGTTTGTACCTCCTTGCTTGAGACATCCTCGAACAATTGCTTAAGACGTTCTCAAATAATTGCTTATTTCGCTTGAAACATCCTCGAATGCATGCTTGTTTCGCTGCAATAATTGCTCGTTTCGCTGGAGAATTCGTTGAACAGTTGCTTATTTCGCTGGAATCTTCCTGGTCCTCCTCTTCCTCCTCCCCCTCCCCCTCCTCCTCCTCCTCCTCCTCCTCCTCCTCCTCCCCTCGTGCTCCTGTTCTCCCTTTGGGGTGGCGGCTCTTGGGGGAATTCTTGTCCTCTTGGGGTTCCCTTGGCTTCCTCGAGGCTCTCGAAATGTTTTCCTTGCGAGAAGCGTCGCTTTACTAAAATGCCTCGAGTGAGACGAGCCTCGGCTATCTCGAGAAGGCTTGGGCGATGCTAGGGCGGGCCCTCGAGCGCCCGCATGCGCTGGGGCCGCTCGGGCAGCAAGTGTAGAGCAGGCGTGTGGACCGACTCGGGGTCGCCGCCCTCGGGCCCCTCGTCCTCGGGCTCGTCGCCCTCGGGTTCCTCGTCCTCGGGCTGCGGTGCCGACTTGCGGCGCTTGGCTTTCTGCCAGGCTCGCTTCTCCTCGTTGTCGCTGCTGCTCGAGATCTCGCGCAGGTGTCTGCCGCGCTTCTGGCCCCTGTCGCCCTCTCGGGTCAAGCGAAAGGGGGGGATAGCAAAGGGGGGGGGTGAGAATCAGCTCACGTAGCTGATTTTCCCGGCGCCTTCCGGCGCCTGCGCATCGGGGAATGGGCCCCTGGGTGAGGCCGAAACCAGCTGCATGCAGCAAATTTCGCGCCCGCCCCTTTCCCAATCCCCCCCTTTCGCCCGACCCGATCCTCGAGCGGCTTCTCGCTGCCGCTCCCCTTGGCGTCCTGAAGCGGTTTCTCCTCCTTCTTGAGGTTCTCGCGCTTCAGGTTCTTAGGCTTCTCGACCTTATCGGGATTCTCGGCGTTGGCACTCTGGGGTAGCTTGGCGCGCACCTCTTGCTTGATGAAGCTCGGCTGAGACATCCTCGAGGTTCTACCCGGGGCGCCCTGGCGCGTCGGGGTCGAATGCTCGTAACTTGAAAGCTTGAGCAATGAAACAACTACGGATAGATTTCCCGTTCCGCTTGACACATTCCAGAACAAACGTGTTCCGCTCGTGACATCCTCAGGTGAAGGGAGAAAGAGAGAGAGAGAGAGAGAGGAAGAGAGAGAAGAGAGAGAGAGAGTAGAGAAAGAGAGAGAGAGAGAGAGAGACGAAGAGGAGATAATGAAAAGCAAGAGAGGAAGGAGAGGAGGAGAGGAAAGGAGAAGACAGGAGAGGAGCAAGAGGAGAGAGAGATAGAGAAACAGAGAGAGAAAAAAGACAGAGAGGAAATAATAAAAAGCCTATCAGATTTTCCATGGGTAATCAACCCCAGGGATAAACAAGTTCAGGGGGGCATGGGGGGGAGAGAGACAGAGAGATAGAAAGAGAGAGAGAGAGAATAATTAATGAAAATGAAGAGGAGAAGAAAAAATCAAGAGGAGAAGTAGAAGAGGAGAGGAAGAGGAAAAGCAAACATTTCAAGTTCCAAATCTGTTATATTTTA